TAGGGGTTGCACCGACTAATCGACTAGTCGACTTCAATGCTCTGCCATGACGCTTTAAGCTTGACGTCGACTAATCGCTGGTCCTACAGGATAATACATCTTTGAAGGACTTCCACATTTACGCTCCGTTTCCAAACAATTCAAATGACAAATAAATGCATACTCTGAAAGCGCTCCACAAGACATGTGTGATTATATTACTGGATGCTCGAAATTGAACGGGAGAATGCACGTTTTAAACAGCTTACTGCACAGCTAAATTAATCGCCGTTCTAATCTAATGCGCTGCTGCACTGTAACGCACACACATAGCTACAGACAGTAGCGCACACCACGCGCACTGAATCATTCAGTATGTATTGTCAACACTGTTCTGTGATTTCTCAATAAAATAGCTTAGAAACTGAAACGTTCAAGCATATATTTCGTATTAACTAAATTCCACAGCTTCGCTACTAGTAGGGAGACGCTGCCAGGCAGAATTCATTCACACACGCAATCGCTCTCACTAATGCATTCATATGAATGTAATCTTTACTGTGCTACTTTATCTGTTTCTGATTTAGAACGAGCAGAAATCTGTGAGAAATATTATGACCCAAAGACAAAAGAACTGATAAAAATGAGCTGTTGTAGGAGCAATAGCCATGTGGGCAGCGCTGTGTCATATGCCATAGCTGTGCACGAGCTGTTTATCACAGCTCCAGACTTATTTGTTCATTAATGACGTCATCAGCGACTAGTCGACTTCGACGACTTCAAAAAATCAGAAGTCGTTCAACCCCTATAGTCTGTACCATGAGTGCGCAGTTTCTGGGGAGCCGCTGTGCGCTGCAGTCTCCTCAGCACAGGCGCTCCGCCAATGACAAGCATGTTTAGGGTGATGAGAGAGGTGGGTTGTTTCGCCCCTCAAAAACAATAACACAGCGGCCCCGTCACTATAATAACCCTATTTGCATCCAGCAACCCTCTATATTCGTGGCTCGCTCGCTCGCTCTCCGCACATGAAACTTAAATACGCGCATTGAAAAGAACAGTGGGCGTAAACGCGCTGTTTATAACGGGGTAACGTTATTCCACAGTGCACCGTGCTGGGCCATAACCCTAAATAACACGGCTTACTTTCACTTAAAAACAAAGATCGAGCCGCATGCGGTTGTGCTTTACATTTACGCGTAGTATATCTGTTACATAACGAACTTACTGAAGTCGTGACTTATCCATTTTGAGCTCCCATCGAAAACAAAGACGTATATTTGTTGGCCCTCTTTCCTGGCCATTTGGAAATAAAGACAGCAATGAAATGCTCAGCGTAGCCTATATGATTCAAGTTCAAGGCTGACACAAATGCGAGAATCTTCCAAGCAGGCTGTCATTACGTCATTGACATCAGAATAAGATAAGATACATAAATGACTGAAGAAATGCGTCCTACATTTACTAAAACGTTTTAATATAGCGCTTCAGTCCATTTCAATGCAGCCTGGTGAAATATCGTACCATTTTGGCGAACGGCTCCCCGAGTGTAGGACGGCCTCGCGCTGCGGTGCTGCTCCTCTCCGCCGGAGGACTTGGGGAAGAGAGGCTGTGACGCCGAATATTAATGAATGCTGCGACAGAAAGCACTGCGGAGTCATGTGGAGCGAGACATATAGACCCAGATGACCCTATTACTGGACAGGCCAGTGAAGGCATTTCGATTCAACATAGTTTGCACTACTTAATAATATGCACTATAACTATATTATGCATGTGACCGCGGAAATACACAGAAATAATGCTCAATAAATAAACAATCAAGCATTTACATATGCAAACATGGCGCACACACACTAATATTACTTCGTCGTCTTCTTCTTAATAATAAAAATAATAATACTGAAATGATGGCATTTGAAATTAAAGATGCTCCCTAGACTGTTCCACAGGCTCTGGTGAGATTTTCTTTTTAATGTATTACTAGGTGTGCACATATTTTGTCACACCCATGATACATGTACACAAAGAAATTAATTACAGAATGAACTTTACAATTTTTAAGTAGGTCATGTTAGTAGCTTGCGACACTGGAAAAATCCTATGACATCTGCGTTTATTACATGTTTGATATGCAAACACATGAAACTTAAATACGCGCATTGAAAAGAACAGTGGGCGTAAACGCGCTGTTTATAACGGGGTAACGTTATTCCACAGTGCACCGTGCTGGGCCATAACCCTAAATAACACGGCTTACTTTCACTTAAAAACAAAGATCGAGCCGCATGCGGTTGTGCTTTACATTTACGCGTAGTATATCTGTTACATAACGAACTTACTGAAGTCGTGACTTATCCATTTTGAGCTCCCATCGAAAACAAAGACGTATATTTGTTGGCCCTCTTTCCTGGCCATTTGGAAATAAAGACAGCAATGAAATGCTCAGCGTAGCCTATATGATTCAAGTTCAAGGCTGACACAAATGCGAGAATCTTCCAAGCAGGCTGTCATTACGTCATTGACATCAGAATAAGATAAGATACATAAATGACTGAAGAAATGCGTCCTACATTTACTAAAACGTTTTAATATAGCGCTTCAGTCCATTTCAATGCAGCCTGGTGAAATATCGTACCATTTTGGCGAACGGCTCCCCGAGTGTAGGACGGCCTCGCGCTGCGGTGCTGCTCCTCTCCGCCGGAGGACTTGGGGAAGAGAGGCTGTGACGCCGAATATTAATGAATGCTGCGACAGAAAGCACTGCGGAGTCATGTGGAGCGAGACATATAGACCCAGATGACCCTATTACTGGACAGGCCAGTGAAGGCATTTCGATTCAACATAGTTTGCACTACTTAATAATATGCACTATAACTATATTATGCATGTGACCGCGGAAATACACAGAAATAATGCTCAATAAATAAACAATCAAGCATTTACATATGCAAACATGGCGCACACACACTAATATTACTTCGTCGTCTTCTTCTTAATAATAAAAATAATAATACTGAAATGATGGCATTTGAAATTAAAGATGCTCCCTAGACTGTTCCACAGGCTCTGGTGAGATTTTCTTTTTAATGTATTACTAGGTGTGCACATATTTTGTCACACCCATGATACATGTACACAAAGAAATTAATTACAGAATGAACTTTACAATTTTTAAGTAGGTCATGTTAGTAGCTTGCGACACTGGAAAAATCCTATGACATCTGCGTTTATTACATGTTTGATATGCAAAATATGTTTTTTTATTCAGCACTGCAAAGTTGTCTATGATGAAAATACTAATTCAATTAAATTAAAATATCCTCCTGAGAACCATAAAAAAAAGTTTTGTGATTTTTTTTAATGCCATTTCATTGGTTGGAGCATAAGAAACAAATGTAGAAAAACATAAAAGGATATTTTATTCATATTTTATTCTGTGTCCTTTGTAGAGGACGCCAGGACTGAGTTATTAAAAAAATAAATAAATAGACATGAAAAGGCATGAATAGGCAAGTTATTAGGTTTCAGGCAATTTTTAACCAAGCTTTGTACAAAGACGATTCTCAACTATGTTATTAAAGATATAACAGATTTGATATACTATTTTACTTTCTGGAATATGTTCATAAAATGTCCATAAATTGGTATTTCCATTCTATGCAATGTATCTATACATTGCATCTAATTAGCATATTAATGTGTTCTTAGGGCAAACTATAATGAAAAAAGAAGTGTTATAATAAGAGTAATAACATTTTTATAAGAATATCTCATATTTCATTTGTCCTGGTGTCCTCTATGAAAATTATGCCCTGTTTCATAATAAAATGTCATATTCCGAGTTGAAACCCCAAAATATTTTTTATTTACAACAAACAATTTGAAAATTAATCAGATTTAAAAGATAATTACAAAACATTGTACATATTTCATATTTCCCTAAGAGTGCTGAATTTGATCATTCTGTCAATATCAGTCGTTTTTAAAGACCAAGGAGAAGGCGTGTTTATGTGTTTATTGTTTATGATCAAACCTCCAAACATTTGATATCCCTAAAAGCCCTGAATATGCTCTGTGCAGGACATCCAGACTTAAAACTGTGGGCAAATGGTGGTCACACCAGATACTGACTGGTTTTTAGACCCCCTCCGGACCCCCCAATACAGTAAAACTGCACATTTTAGAGTGGCCTTTTATTGTGGCCAGCCTAAGGCACACCTGTGCAATAATCATGCTGTCTAATCAGCATCTTGATATGCCACACCTGTGAGGTGGATGGATTATCTCGGCAAAGGAGAAGTGCTCACTAACACAGATTTAGACAGATTTGTGAACAATATTTGAGAGAAAGGCCTGTTGTGTACATAGAAAAAGTCTTAGATCTTTGAGTTCAGCTCATGAAAATGGTGGCAAAAACAAAAGTGTTGCGTTTATAATTTTGTTCAGTGTATATGAAGAGCCTCTAAAAGGTCGTGGGTTCAATTCCCAGGGAACATACATACTGGTAAAAAAAATAAGGCGCGGCATAGAGGAGAAACAATAATGTACAGTATGTGGAAAATAATGTGTTTTTTTTTACTTTAAACCACATAAACACATTTCATTACACCAAATACTGTTCTTTTTAGCAGCATCATATGACCCTTTTAAATTATGTCTCCATGTGCATATTTTCACTAATACATCCCAAACAGTAGAAGGCGCTGTATCGCTAATCATTTGTTTAGACTTAGTGGAGGGAAAGTTCGAATCAGATGAGGAAGGTACTGACAGAGAGCGGCTTTGGTACTGAATCAGAAATCAGAATGGACTGTGGCTTTATACAGTAGATATGAAATATTAGGTACCATTTAACTGCCTCTGTTTCCGGTCTTTGTCATGTCTGTCATTCCCTGTTTAGTTGATAGATGGAGTGAGGAGAATAACAACATAATTTTGACTTGGAAGGTATTGTTGCGAAATTAATATTTTTTCGTTTACAGTAATGTTAGACTTTACGCAGACATACTCATGTGCCGAATTACCGTTTCAGCAAAATGAACTTGGCCTTGAACCAAATCAGCATGTTTGGAAGCGATGCTGGTCGGAAAGCCTTAAACTGCTGCAGAAAATTCAAGGTATTTTCATGTGTTACTTTTGATTTGATGGCTGTAAGTAAGGTGGTATTAGAAGCTCATAACCATATTCTGTTTACACAGGAATACCAGCAGCTACTGAACGACTCGAACTTGAAATGACAGTTTCATATAATACGTTTTTATTCTCGTTGAGTTTCTCCAATGCAAGTGAAATAGAGGAAAGTCTCACCAATAGTTTATTAAGAGGTAAATAACATCGTCTTATTTTTTAAATTATTAATATATGCAGTGGTTGTGTATGTGTTTTATGTTGTTGTTTTGTTGTTGTTTTTTTCCTGTAGCTTTAGAGGCTGGTGGATCTCAGGTTTCCTGTTCTGATCCGGTTCAGTTGTGGGAGGCTGTTCTACAGACTTTTGGCTCCTCAGTCTATGTGCCTTATGTCCACAAGCTTCTGCTCATCCAGTGGATGCTGTGGCTCATGCAGTGCCAGTTAGAGAAAGTTCTTACTCTTCTGATGCAAATGAATCACAAGGTATTAATTTTTACAGTTTTTATAAAAATATATTTTAAGAATTATTAGGTCCCCCTTGGAAGTTTGCTGAAGCTCCCTAGTGGTCCCTGGCTCTCTGGTTGAGAACCACTGTTTTATACCTCATTTACAAGCATATGCTATTGTGTGTCAAATATAAATATAATTACTGTAAAATACTGACCAGTTTTTATTATGTTTATGTTACATCTGTTTATTTCTGAAAGCACATGGATAATGTAAGCTTTTCTACAGAGTTTTTGTTAAATGTGAGCCAAAATCATCACAATTAAAAGAACCAAAGACTTAAACTACTTCAGTCTGTGTGCATTGAATTTATTTAATACACGAGTTTCACAATTTGAGTTGAATTACTGAAATAAATGAACTTTTCCACGACATTCTAATATATTGAGATGCACCTGTAGTGAAAGCAGAATCCCAAACTCAGTATTTTTACAGCATAATGCTGTCTTAGAGGACTTGTATCTGTAAAAATGTCAGGCTCCTATTAGGTCCCCACCAGTCAACCCGAAAGTTTTTTTTTTATTGCGCTTTTTTGCTCCTGTTAAATAATAATTAAGATAAATCTCAAACCTGAAATGTTCTGAATGCACACAATACTTACAGTGGTGTGAAAAAGTGTTGGCCCCCTCCCTGTTTTTTAAAGTTTTTGCATAAAAAATAAGAAATCAGGAAGGGGGCCAACACTTTTTCACACCACTGTACATAGGTACCCCCCGACTCAATACCTTCCCATTACGGATTGAAAATTTTTATTTGGATTTAAGATTTTAATCTAAGGAACAATAATGTGCAAAGTGTTTATACATGTACATTGAAATGTGCTTTAGAGAACAGTTTTTCTCCAAAAAAGTTAGGACCATCCTGAGATTAGATATTTAGATTTCCATAAATGTCCATATAACCAAAATGTGTTGTGGGCCATTAAACTCATGGTTTTGCAATAAATAACATAGCATAACATAACAAAACAGAGGTAATCACTCCAAAAATTTGTACATTTAAAAATGGCAAAGCAACCTCTATTGGACCACTTGAGATGGATTGAATCCTTACAAACAGTAATGTAACAGTATTTTATAGTTAAACACATCAGATGTAAACAAGAAATTGCCTAGTAAAGTGACCTAAGAAGGATTTAAATTGTAAACATGTAAATACTGCTGTTTTCAAGAATCTGTATTTGACTGCTGTCATTCTCATATCCTCTCAGAGCGAGCGTTCAGCACCTGTGGATCTACAGACAGAAACCCGAAACCTTGCTTTGAGCATGGAAGAAGACTCCTCACTAAAGGTTGCCATGGCAGCAAAGGACCTCAGGGATCTCTTGCACATCTGCACTGTAATGTGTCAAGGTACGGAATATCTGAACTAAGATGTAGACGATTTCATTAAACAATGTGATCAAACCTTTATGTAAATATTTTTACATTATGTAGGTCCATATATTAATGTCACAAGAAGTACATCTTACATATAAGAGTTGTTATATGAAAAAATCATTGTATTAAAGTAAAAAGCAATACAGATCTTGTTTCTTTGCTATTTAAAACATAATAAATAGTAGAACTGCCATTAATCCTAAAATGTGTTTGCTGGTTTAGGGGTGGAACAGATGAAGATGGAAAAATATTCTGAGGCCCTTGAAGCTTTTCAGGAGGCTAAAGGCCTCCCAAGTCCCAGAAGTCTCTTGGCACAGATCCACACCCTCACAGGCCAGAGTTTTGCTAAGCTGGTAAGAAGCTCTGTTCTACAATCCCCATCCAATGAACCCTGGACTAAAAAGACCTAAATAGACAAAATCTTGAATCAACAGTTCCTGAACCAGTTGCTGTTTATATCTGATTCATTGAATTAAGTTTGTTTGTTACATTAGATTATCTGGTTCATGTGTGGTAGGTCAGAATTTGAGCAAACACTTTCTATCTTAAGTCCAGGCATTCTCAGTGGCTCTGTTATTTATGTCCCTGCAGGGTCAGCCCCATTGTGCTCTCCATTTTTATAGGAAGTCTGTGGAGGTGGATTGTGCTTGCCATAGTGCACTTTATCAAAGTGCTCTGGTGTTCAGACAGCTTGGCAATCCAAAGGCAGAAATGGAGGCCTTGCATCTCCTTTACTCAGTAAGTTATTCTGTACACAAATTATTGATTATTTATGCAGTGTGCCTTGTGCTTTACAGCAAGTTTGAAAGGTGCATTTACATACATACATTAAAGTTCACCCCAATAAAAATAAATTTGCTCACCCTCAGACAATTCATCGGAACAGATTTGGAGAAATGTAGCATTACATCACTTGCACCTCTCTGGTGAATGGGTGCCATCAGAATGAGTTCAAACAGCTGATCAAACATCACAGTAATCCACACAACTCCAGTCCATCAATTAACATCATGTGAAGTGAAAGGCTGCATGTTTGTATTGTACAAATTCACCATATTTTTAACTTCAAACTTATTTTTTACTTCAAACCGAGTCCTCTATCCATAATTTTGCTTTCTCCAGTGAACAAGTCAACTTGTATGAATCAGGAAAGAAATGTGCACAAATCAAGCACCTTTCACAAGTGAAAACAGTCCAAAGCAGTTCTAAACAAATATGTTGGTGGATTTTAATGTGAGAGGACAACGGGGGGTGGACTTTTTTAATGGATGAAGTGTTATGAATTATGGACTGGTATTTTGGCCTGAAGCAAGTTAAAATGACTTGATGGATTTGTTTCTTACAAACACGCATCTTTTCACTTCAAAAGACATTAATTGATGGACTGGAGTCGTGTGGATTATTGTGCTGTTTTTATTAGCTGTTTGGACTCTCATTCACTGCAGAGAATCCATTGGTGAGCAAGTGATGTAATCCTCTATTAAAATCTGTTCAGATGGATGCAATTTTTCATTTTTGTGAACTGTTCTTTAACTACTTATGATATAAGAGATAACAAATTGTTAATTGTTGTCCTTACTTCATACAACACATAACAGCTCATTACTATATTGAAAACAATAAACAAATCATTTGTAAGTGCCAGAGGTCCATATCTCATGACTGTCTTCTAGTGTCAATAAAGTAGATGTAAACAAGTAAATTTAAGAAGCAACATGGCTCAGGTGACACTGAAGGCTTTTTTTCAGTCCGAACAGTAAAGGATATGTCACATTCTTTCAGAATTCTCCAATAAATGTATTTCCTGCATGTTATGTAGTGTCAGTTTGAAATGTTTGTTAAATAATACTTTTCTCTTGCTTTGTTTACAGGCAGTCCAACTGCAGTCTGATAAAAGTTCATCTAGTGCTTCACTGGTCTCTCCAGCTATGCTGTTTGGTGGTGTACAGATGACCTTCATTAGCAGAGTCCCTTCCCCTTCTCTGATTCTGCACACTTTGGCTCACACGTGTGTGTTCAATGGCAGGCAAGTGATTCCACAACAAGGACAAATGCTTGAATCATATATCAAATCTGAATACAGAATCAAATCAGAATTTTAGATCTAGAAAATCTGAATCAGAATCAAATCAGATCTAGAAACCTAACCTAAACAGCTAATCAAAAAATAATAATATTTTGTGTCAATCAGTATTTCAGATGGTGTTGAGTACTATCTAGATCTGTTGGCGTCACTGCAGTCAGATGGTAAAGATCTTGTAAGGACCGCAATTTTTCAGGCATCGCATTCAAAAGTAGTGCTTATAAAGTAATATAACTGATTCAGAATGACCTGTCTGTGTTCCAGATACTCACAGGAGATGGCACTTCTTTTCCCAGAATCCCAGTGGTCTACCTTGAAGCAGGATTTGCTTTATTAAAAGCTAAACGTTATTGTGATGCTCTTGTGGTCTGTGAGGAGGTCATCACCAGCACTTTGGACTTCATCCCTGAGAGACTGCTGCTTGATGCTGATGAAAAACTAAAAGCAGCTGATTCTGATGTTGTGCTTGAAAATGTAGATCTTGTGTTATGGGCTGGTGCAGCCCATCTCCTTCAAGCACAAGCACACTGGAAACTGAAAGACATAAAAGAGGCTATTACTAATTTTACAAGGTACAATATCAGTACCTGTTTCATTCGATACCTTGCCGTGTTGGCAAACCATGTTTTTTTTTCTTATGTTCTCGTTCTTTCCTTTCAGAGCGATTAATCAACTGGTCAAAGTGTTCATTAAACAGAAAGGTAAGTAATCTCTCTTTCCAGTCTGACCGTTGCTCTAACAAGATAGTGTGTTCATACTCAAAATCATTCATTGGGTATATCTATTAATAATCTGCTTTCAAGAGATGAAGTAAGCTGTTTTCCTCTCTTTAGCTTAGTGAGGCCACATTTGATGTGTGCACTTGCTTCATTGTCTTCATTATCATTCATGTACCATTACTTACATGGTTTCATCAAACTTTTAGACTGGAAACAAAAACATCTTGGAAACACTGAAGCGATGGTTGAAAAAATGGTGACTCTGGAAGCAGCAAAAGGGCAAGCACTAGCTAGTAGAGGGCTCTGCTTTCTGGAAGGAGGTCAATTAAAGCAAGCCCTGAGAGATCTCAATCTCAGTCTCCAGATGACACCAGGTATTCACCTGACATGCTGTCAATATAGTGAATTTGTGTGGCTTGTTTGTTGTGATTAGTCTGATACATTGCATTGTTCTTCTCAAATTTACATGTGGAATTGAATTTCAATAGGTTGTAAGAATACTGAGATGTGGCTGACTGAGGTCTTGTGGAGGCTTGATCGTAGAGAGGAAGCATCAGCACACTGGAGAGAAGCCCATAGTACTAAAGATGCACCCAAGTCAATGTAAGCTATTAGACAAGTCAATATCGTTCAGTTTTGTGATAATACACTAATATCATAATATGACTTTTACACACATCATTGGACTCTAAAAGAATGCAACTGGTATGGTGAATGTTCAGTAATCTTTTGACTTGGCTTTCAGAAAGCTACCGCTGTATTTGCAGCTATGGCCAGATGACACGGCTTTTGACTTCAGTGGCTTGAAGAAGAAAATGGAGGAATATATTCAAGCTAAAAAGACATGAGAGATGTCAGAAAGGATGCTCTCTACTACATTCAGCTAAACGGCATCATTTCAATTTTTGGTGCATCTAAACCAGAACTACAAACAGAAAAACAGTTTGTGTTGTCTCGTTTCCTTTTCAGATGTAACCATGTAGCATTCCACTTGTCAGAGCAAATTATTTGTGAGCTCAAGAGAATGCATCCAGGCTGGTATCAGATTCTTTGTATATCTTACACTTGACAATTTTTCTGACTAGCATCTTGTTTTTGGAATGGACAAGAAACCATTTTATCTATGATCTTGACAAATAAATAATATTCATAATGAAAAGGATTTGAAATGAGTAAGCTCTGAAAAAGTATTTTATTTAACTTAAAACTGCTATATAACTTGATTCTTATCTTAACCCACAGAGTCACATATAAGTACATTTTATTATGACAGTAATATTATATATGCATTCACTACATTGTTCTGCATTACAGCTCATTTAAATTATTACACAACATATTCTCAAATACGTATGTTTGGTGTTTTGTGTCCTTTTGAGATTACCTAACTTGTTGGGAAATGTGGCCTATTTGTAGTGTCGTAGTCAAGACCACCTAAACCGAGACCAAGACCAGAGTGAGACCAAAACAAGACCAAGGCAGGACGAGACCGAGTCCAGACCAAGACCCAAACAGCACTCCTGAAATTCAACTGCTCCACATTTATTGCCTGAAATATATCTAATTTAATCAATAAATACAATTCAAATAATAAGACACTATATAGAGCTGTTACCAATGAAATGAAATCACTAACAACAAAATTCATCTTTGCACTGCAGAGGCTGCATAGAAGCTGCATCTGAACTGATACAATTGCATAAATATAGTTGAGAATTATTATATTTTAAATATATAATTTTGCATATAGAAATATAATGGAAACATAAATTGAATATGACAAACTAAAACCACCAGTTGGCGGCAAATCACTTAATGTGTGAGTCATTGAATTATTTATTCAACCGATTCTTTCAACAATAACAAAAAACTGATTTATTCAGTAATGAATCACCGTTGTGTGTTGCTCAGAAACGCAACAGTTGCTATGGATTGCTGGACTTTGGAACCATTTTCGTTGCTGAAATACCAATAATAATAATACATTAATTTAATTGTGTCTAAAATGTAATTCACTTAATACTTCTTGTTTGTTTAACGTTTGCATAAGATCAATATCACGTTTTGCAATCGTGCTCATATTCATGAAAATAGCTCTTGGGATATTGCTTAATCTTATGTCATATGAAAAACAAGATCTCATTTTTTGCAATCATATCTTGAATTCTTTAGCCATTTGTGTTAATTTAGGTGACATTTTTTGACACAATTCCCCATTAAATTCTGACCGGACACAGCAGTATCAAAATGAATCAAATTAGAAATAAGTTATCGATTGCATTTAAAGTAGTTGATTTGCATTTTACATAATCACATTAACGATGTTGACAAATAATTCAGACAGTGCACTGGCAATTTAGTGAAATCCCTGCAGTTGGTCTTGACCGGTCTTCAAATAAAATCCAGAGTACTTTTAGTCTGAGACCGAGTACAAAAGACCAAGACCTTTAAAATGATCTCGAGTACCACAACACTACCTATTTGCCTATAGGGAAACATAAATTGAATATGACAAACTAAAACCACCAGTTGGCGGCAAATCACTTAATGTGTGAGTCATTGAATTATTTATTCAACCGATTCTTTCAACAATAACAAAAAACTGATTTATTCAGTAATGAATCACCGTTGTGTGTTGCTCAGAAACGCAACAGTTGCTATGGATTGCTGGACTTTGGAACCATTTTCGTTGCTGAAATACCAATAATAATAATACATTAATTTAATTGTGTCTAAAATGTAATTCACTTAATACTTCTTGTTTGTTTAACGTTTGCATAAGATCAATATCACGTTTTGCAATCGTGCTCATATTCATGAAAATAGCTCTTGGGATATTGCTTAATCTTATGTCATATGAAAAACAAGATCTCATTTTTTGCAATCATATCTTGAATTCTTTGGCCATTTGTGTTAATTTAGGTGACATTTTTGACACAATTCCCAATTAAATTCTGACCGGACACAGCAGTATCAAAATGAATCAAATTAGAAATAAGTTATCGATTGCATTTAAAGTAGTTGATTTGCATTTTACATAATCACATTAACGATGTTGACAAATAATTCAGACAGTGCACTGGCAATTTAGTGAAATCCCTGCAGTTGGTCTTGACCGGTCTTCAAATAAAATCCAGAGTACTTTTAGTCTGAGACCGAGTACAAAAGACCAAGACCTTTAAAATGATCTCGAGTACCACAACACTACCTATTTGCCTATAGACTTGTTGGTGGCATTTTGACACTTCGGCTCAGCTGAGTAACAGTTTGATCAGACCGTCTCGAGCCAATCCAAAAGAGACAATTCACAACGCAGCAGAAAATGAACCAATCACAATTAACTGTGACTGCCACCCGGACCAATGATACTTGCGCTTTACCACATTAGAACTGCGATTGGCCAATAAGCCAGGGCAAGAAATCGCAACGTGTGCTCTGATTGGCTCGTCGTTCAATAGGCGAGGAAACTTTTTCCCTGCAGAGTTGATGTTAGCAGGCTAATCTAGTGCAGAGGCAAAAAGCTAGTGTGAAGGTTGGAATTGGTTACTCAAGAGACCTACTCATTTCCATCAACTATTTATATCTTTTTTCGGGAGAAGCAATATGGCTTCGGGTGGAGAGTAAGTACAATTTTAGGGATGTGATATTTAGTGCGATCATAGTTGTTTTTTTGTTGAGTACCAATTAGCCATGAAGCTAAAAGACGAACGCATCATTAACGGTGATCAATGAAAAGAGCGAGTTCACACGCTACAGGTTTCTCATCCGAGCGCATATGTAAATTGATATAATTTCGTCCTCTACATATACTAACGTTCTCATCACTCATTAAAACTTTTGCGGGAGTTTTAATGCGCCTCTGAGTCCAAGATTAGCTGTGTTTAGCATGTAAGCTAGCCGGACTGAGTCATCTCCGCATATGATTGAGGCTTTCGGCCCACCGGCATCACCGGCGACTGCTCGGATAAACACGCGCAACACTCTTCAACGACCCGCATACCGCTTCATACATGTAAACACCTTTAATCCTCTGTAATCGTGAAACCGTGGATAATAAGCAGCAAAGCGAGCTAACGCGTCAAATCGGCTTTGTGTATATAGCAGCAGGTGATGATTATGAATCCCGTGATCTGTATATTTCAGCCTCAAACCCAAAACGACTGACAAGATGTGACGTTAAAAACGTTAGATACTAACTATACCAGACTCTAGAGCTTTTACAAGCACTAAAATACTTGTATTTCGGCGGTTTAAGCTTCACATGTCACACAGCAGCATTTGCTGTGTCATTGGCCACTGGAGATGGCTAACTGCTGCTAGCTCTCACATCACCCACTCTGAGAGGAATAAATCATCCATCCATCCATCCACCTGTGCAATATACGGTTACATTGCGTACCCGACGAAAACACACTTTTGTGAGGGAGTGAATTGTACAGTTCAGTAGTATGTAACGTTAAAGACATAACGTGTGTTGTCTGTTAGCTGTGAGAATGTTGTTAGCTTATTTACACACGCGCTGTTGGCCGCAGCCTATTAACGTCTGTCTAATTACCGTATTGGCTTAGTTTCTTTGGTCCGCTGTCTTTTCAGAAAAACCCTATAAACAGCTTAAATTGTTGTATCATGCGGGATCAACTGCACTAAGGCCTTCCTCACGACCGCATCCTGGCCTAAAGCCGGATCATTACGGCTTTCAGACCAGTGTTTTGTGGAAAGCTCTAGAGTAACTCGAGCTTGACAAACGTGATCTGTGTGGACGAAACGCCTATACGATACAAAATGTATGCATATACAGCTAAACGCTTCTCTGTGTGGATGAGGCCTTAGTTGTAAAAAGGATCACCCCCTCCTAAAAAAGACTTGTAAACTCAATCAGATGTAGCTAATCATCTTCTCAATGGCACACAAAGCCATTTGACTTTCAACTGTTTTATTGTTATTATTTTTATTGTTACAAAACAATTGTTGTAACATTATTATCAATGTTATTATTGATCAAATAAATTCAGCCTTTGTGAGCGTAAGAGACTTCTTTCAAAAACAAACATTTGAACAGTTTACATAATTTAATTTTATATGCAGTACCAGGCTGCAAAGCAACAAAATGCGATTATTTTAAAGGAGGGTGATTTTCTTTTCTATACCCACTGTATGTGCCCATCACTTTTTCTTCTGCTCTTTTAGGCAAAGATGGATGAGCTTCAGCTCTTTAGGTGCGGATGACCGCACAAAATATAAATATGGCTCAATTAGTTTTCTTTAATGACTACTTATATATATTTTTAAACGCTAAGCAAATTTTGAAGTCTTGACATTTTTAATGATCCCAGGCCCTGAGATCATGAGTAAACTGGCAGGTGAATCTGAGAGCAATTTGCGCAAAGCTTTTGAGGAAGCAGAGAAGAACGCACCAGCCATCATCTTTATTGATGAACTCGATGCCATTGCACCAAAAAGAGAGAAGGTAAGATTTCTGCTTGTGTTCAGAGGCAGAAATTACAGAAGCTATCACAGCAGTTGCTTTGCACAAATAATCATCACTTTTAAACTGATTCTTTATTCTCTTTTTGTCCATCAGTAAATGATTTCACTTGTAGTCTTTTGTGTGACATTATTATAAGAACTTAAAAACGGTTACAATTTCTTTATTTCCCCCCCCCCCCTTTTTTTCCTGCTCTCACAGTGTGAAAGACGACAATAAAACACTGACATGAGCACAGCATCTTTTAACTAAAACTATTCATCACTTTTGTTAATTAAAATAAAGCTGTAACATATTTTTGAAATACTGCCTTGGCTACTAACTGAAATAAAAAGTACAAAAATTTTGAAAAATGAACTTCTTGCTTTACCCCCCCCCCCCTTTTTTTCCTGCTCTCACAGTGTGAAAGACGACAATAAAACACTGACATGAGCACAGCGTCTTTTAACTAAAACTATTAGTCACTTTTGTTAATTAAAATAAAGCTGTAATATATTTTTGAAATACTGCCTTGGCTACTAACTGAAATAAAAAGTACAAAAATTTTGAAAAATGAACTGTGCTATGTATTTTTTTTGTTAGTATATACAAAGTGCTTAAGTTCATTTAAAATGAATATATAAATAAAGGCTAATTCAGAATAATACTTGCTCTTGTGATCACCTGGTTTAATCCTGAATATTCTGCTTTAACTAGAATCCAGTGGATTATTAGCAGTTTGTACTATGAGAATGTTTTTAACCAAAATGTGCCGCCATGTCCTTTTATTGTAATTTCATATTTTAATAATTCAAAGTGCTTGCTCAATTTTAAATGTTATTAAAAAGAAACATTGCATTTCCCTACTTTACATTCTAAATCAGTGCTCAAGAATTTCTTTTCTCATTTCTTATTATCACCAATGTTAAAAACATTTGTGCTGCATTATATTTTTTCAGTTTCTTGCGTTCCCCCCCCCCCCCCCTTTTTTTCCTGCTCTCACAGTGTGAAAGACGACAATAAAACACTGACATGAGCACAGCATCTTTTAACTAAAACTATTCATCACTTTTGTTAATTAAAATAAAGCTGTAACATATTTTTGAAATACTGCCTTGGCTACTAACTGAAATAAAAAGTACAAAAATTTTGAAAAATGAACTGTGTATATACTAACAAAAAAAATACATAGCACAAAGTGCTTAAGTTCATTTAAAATGAATATATAAATAAAGGCTAATTCAGAATAATACTTGCTCTTGTGATCACCTCACCTGGTTTAATCCTGAATATTCTGCTTTAACTAGAATCCAGTGGATTATTAGCAGCTTGTACTATGAGAATGTTTTTAACCAAAATGTGCCGCCATGTCCTTTTTATTGTAATTTCATATTTTAATAATTCAAAGTGCTTGCTCAATTTTAAATGTTATTGAAAAGAAACATTGCATTTCCCTACTTTAAAGCAATATTTGATCTGAGATGTATGCATGTATGAATGTCTAATCGGGGGATATTTCACTAAATGGTCTCTTATCTCTTTTCAGACTCATGGTGAAGTGGAAAGGCGCATTGTGTCTCAGCTGCTCACTCTGATGGACGGACTGAAGCAAAGGGCTCATGTCATCGTCATGGCAGCCACTAACAGACCCAACAGCATTGACCCCGCTCTCAGGCGATTCGGTGAAATCACTTTCCTCAAGTGTTGCTCTGTAAAGAGACCTGACTCGAGACGTTTTCAGTTGATGTTCGGGCTTCTTTCTGACTCTCTTGATTTCAGGGCGCTTTGACCGAGAGGTGGACATCGGCATTCCAGATGCTACTGGAAGACTTGAGATACTTCAGATCCACACCAAGAACATGAAGCTTGCAGATGATGTTGATCTGGAGCAGGTGTGTTTCAGAGAATGGCAGAACATTCAGTGCTCCGTGATGATTCACTTTCATTTAAAATGGGTCTCCTTAATCAGGCACTGGCAGAAACGTCATGCCTGTTTAATACTGCTCCCTCAGCCAAGTGGATTATAAATGTTAAATGCATTCCTACAAAATAATGCATTTTCATATTTTGTTCCGCCATTTGCCTTTAGGTGGCAAATGAGACCCATGGCCATGTGGGTGCTGATCTGGCCGCCCTTTGCTCAGAGGCTGCCCTGCAAGCCATCAGAAAGAAAATGGACCTCATCGATCTGGAGGATGAGACCATTGATGCAGAGGTTATGAACTCCCTGGCTGTAACAATGGATGACTTCAGGGTGAGGATCTTTATCTCAGTTACTCTCAACCATCTGAACAATTAAATGTGGGGAAATTGCATTCAGAAACTCGAGACATTGATTTGTCACCATCTTCTACCTAACAGTGGGCTCTTAGCCAGAGCAACCCCTCTGCCCTGAGAGAGACCGTTGTGGAGGTGCCCAACATCACCTGGGAGGATATTGGTGGCCTTGATGATGTCAAGAGAGAGCTGCAGGAGCTGGTGCAGGTACTAAGCGCACAAGTCTTGTTCTGTATTTCTGACAACCGAGCGTTCACACAGCTACATTTTAAAACTGCTTTTGACATCCTTACCAATTTTTTCTGTCCTTTTTTAGTACCCAGTGGAACATCCAGACAAATTTCTTAAGTTTGGCATGACCCCATCCAAGGGTGTGCTGTTCTATGGACCGCCAGGTTGTGGTAAAACCCTGCTGGCCAAGGCCATTGCCAATGAGTGCCAGGCCAACTTCATCTCAATCAAGGGCCCAGAACTGCTTACTATGTGGTTTGGAGAATCGGAGGCTAATGTCCGTGAGATCTTTGACAAGGTATGTAATTTTGTATTCTCTAGCAGGGAGTTTCTGACTCAGTCCTGTTTATAACATTTTCAATGTGTAGTAAGACAATTTATGCTTTTCAGAGGCTATAGGCATCTATAATGACATGTAAATTAAGGATCCAATTAAAAATTGTCCTGCTGTCTCATTGTCCTCCTCCAGGCTCGTCAAGCTGCTCCTTGTGTGCTCTTCTTTGACGAATTGGACTCCATTGCGAAGGCTCGTGGAGGAAACGTTGGCGACGGTGGCGGCGCTGCTGACAGAGTCATTAACCAGATTCTCACAGAAATGGATGGTATGTCCAGCAAGAAGAATGTCTTCATCATTGGGGCCACCAACAGACCAGACATCATTGACCCTGCCATCCTCAGGCCTGGCCGACTGGACCAACTTATCTACATCCCACTGCCTGATGAGAAGTCTCGCATTGCCATTCTTAAAGCTAACCTCAGGAAGTCTCCAATCTCAAAGGTCATTGTGGATGATTTTTTGTTCTTTTTAAATGGGCTTTTATTTAAATAGTGGATAACACTTTACAATAAGGTTCCATTAGTTAATGTTAGTTAATGTATTAACTAACATGAACAAACAATGAACAATACATTTATTACAGTATTTCTTTATTAATGTTAATGAAAATGCAGTTGTTCATTGATCGTTCATGTTAATTCTCATTGCATTAACTAATGTTAACAAGCACAACTTTTGCTTTTAATAATCCATTAGTAAATTTTGAAATTAAGATTAATAAATACTGTAGAGTGTTGTCTATATTGAATGTTGTAAAGTGCTACCAAATCTTTTTTTTTTTTTTATTATTATTGGGTGTTAATGTATTCCTTTTTGTGTAGGACGTGGACCTGGACTACTTGGCCAAGATGACCAATGGCTTTTCAGGTGCTGACTTGACTGAGATCTGTCAGAGAGCCTGTAAACTGGCCATCCGTGAGTCCATTGAGAATGAAATCAGACGGGAACGTGAGAGGCAGACTAACCCTTCTGCAATGGTGAGATTTCATTCTTTTAAATGCTTCCTTTTCAAAGTTGGGCAAATTAAAATCTATTTAAGTGCAGTCCTAAATACTATGGTGTGAGGCATTTAAAACTGGCATGGTAGTCTGGATTTTCTAACATGTTGGTTGATTTTGTATTTTCAGGAGGTGGAGGAGGATGACCCTGTGCCTGAGATTAGAAAGGACCATTTCGAGGAAGCCATGCGCTTTGCCCGCCGCTCCGTCAGCGATAACGACATCCGCAAATACGAGATGTTCGCACAGACCCTGCAACAAAGCAGAGGCTTTGGCAGTTTCAGGTGGGAACTTAAATCATGTTTAGTGGTAGCTTTTTGTTTTGTTTGCTCTTAGATGACAATATGAGCTCTTGGGTTTAAGTAAATTAATGGGATAATAAGATTGTCAGGCTGTGACTTGGTTTCCATGTATTCAGATTGGATTCAAGGTGCTAAATGCCTTTATTTTATTTTTCTAAATAAAAGATTCCCATCCAGTAACCAAGGAGGAAGTGGACCAAGTCAGGGCTCTTCTGGTGGCGGCGGAGGCGCCATCTTCAATGAGGACAACGATGATGATCTTTATGGATAAATGTGACCACGTGGCTGACCCTCACAGGCCACTCTTCATACAGGCCGCCATGTACAAAAGACAAAAAAGAAAAAATTCCACATTTTTAGAACTGTGCTTTTTGTTTGTTATTTTCCGCTTCTCTCATGTCCATTCCCCTGTTTTTTTTTATTCGCCTCGTTCTCCTTCTGTCCACCTCCCTCTGTTGATAGAGAAAAGCATGTAGCTGCTTGTGTTTTGCTCTGGTTTGTGAAAGGATGATTTCTGAGAACTTTGATCTTAACATTCTGTGGGTGGGGGTGAATTTCAGTGAAAACCATACACGATAGTGATTTCATCAACTTTTCACAAGCTATATGAGCAGCTTCAGTGGTGGGGTTTAATGCTAGACTGTTGGAAGGATTCAAAAAAGAAAATATGTAATTGCTAATGACTTCATTTTTTTTATGAATGTAGCATATAATGTATTACAAGTTTGAAAAATGTTAAATAAAATTCACGAAATGGACAAAGTTGTGGTGTTTCATTTGTAGATGTTTGGGATCTGTGAACATGTACAGATTATGATATCTTAAAATTATTATTTCTCCTAAATGCTTTTAAAAATTGTGAAAATTGACTAGTCATTTTAATTTCTTTTTTTTTATAAACCAAATGCTGTACTTCTAGGTCAAAGATCATGTAATTCAATAGGTTTTTTTTATTCTTAAAGCATTCTTTAAAAATGCAGCTCATTTATGCTTGTTTAAAAATCATGTAGTGATTTCCTCTAGCACATAACTTGTGTGCTCTAGTTACATTAAATCTTAGTCTGTGTTTGATACTGTCATGTGTATATCATACTCTAGATGGGGTCACCATAAAAATCATAAGAAACATTTAAAAATTAAGTGTTTTTATTTAAATTAGTAACTTGGATATTGAAGACATGCCATCTTTAGTTCTAAGAGGTTTGCATTTTTTTTTTTCTATCGCGCTTTATCAATATGGATCACTGAAAGGAAAATGAGGGTGCTTTGCATCTCTCCAGACCTTTTGTCCATCTATCTGTGGAGTGACAAAAACATTTCAGCCACAACAGGCATTTCAAAACCGTAACATACAGTAACTATTCATACCATTATAGTTGGAATGATAAGCCTCTCATTCCTGTTGAAGGATTCAATCACCCTCATATCTTCATCAGTTAATTTAAAATCAAACACCTGTGTGCAAAGGTGAGCAATGATTATATTTACATAATCTTCACTGCAACTCTTAAATCTCATTCAACTAATAATCAAAAAAATCATACCACACCGGGTTTGATGTCAAATGTCATTGGTTCTCATGTCTCTTAACCGATCACAAAGCACACGCTCAAATCACACATGAGATTTGATTGTTAATATAGAAAGATATTCATTAAATATTGACCTAAATTTCTTTGGAAAAACATTTAATTTCTGGGGGAAACTATCCCAATAACTTGTCCCACTCTCTCCTCATTACAGTTCTTGTCCTCCAGGTGTCTCTGTATGTCCTGTCTTCTGTTGACATTCTGAATAAGCATTAATGATCACTGACCTTGCTTAAACCCCTCCAGGCATTATGTAAATCATAATTAGGTTACACAGAGGCTCAGTGGTTAAATAACCTGCCAAAGCATTGTAGTTGAGATGCAAGAGTTCAGGTGCATGTGCTGAAATGACGAGTCATGGAGGATGAATAATGTTTTAATGTGAAAGTCCACATCCAAATGGATTCAGAAAAAGAATGATTTGCTAATAAACAGGTTTCCTGAACAAAGAGTCGCCCCACACTCACGCCATTGTTTGAGTCAGTGACGAGCATCCAGACCAGCCAATCACAAAGCAATGCTTTGCTGGCAAAGAGTCACAGTGTTAAAACTTTTTAGGAACGTCAACCTCTTACAGTTGTTTCTGGACAGTAAGATGACGCAAGAGAAAGTATTATAACCTTGAAATTTGTTTGAAGTCTTTTTCCAACCTACCTCAATGTTCTGTTTGATCCTGGATGGAGTGATGCTTTTGGGGATGCAAATGACACCTCTCTGTATGTGCCATCTATGACACAAAAACCAATCCAGAAGTGTGTAATGGACATGGCCATGCACTCAAAATCACACTAAACACAAAACATAGTAAGAGGAAAGGAGGAATCCATACTCAGCAGTCAATGTGGGCCTATTCCTAAATCCTCTGACCATCCTCACCTGATGATGACCTGAGCAGGGGTCTTGTTATAGCACGTGGCCAAACCAACCACCCGTGGATCATCCAGCAGATCGGCTTCTCCAGGTGTAACCCATGGGCGATCAGGAGAACCCAGAGGACTGTAGGCTGTTACTGCCAGCCCTCGACCCCAACACTGAGATACCAGCTGAGTCTGAACCAGGTAAGGATGGCACTCCACCTGTAAATATTTTGGAATGAAGCAAACAAAAAAACTTTTTATAATAGTTATTATAATGTATATTTACATTTACATTTATTAATTCATTCAAATACACAAAACAGAATAGCTCAAATTGTTGCCATTAGTTGTCAATGGCAAATTAACGCAAGGACAGTCCAGTCTTACGGTCTTTGCAATTATCACTTTTACATTATTGGGTGTTAATGTATTCCTTTTTGTGTAGGACGTGGACCTGGACTACTTGGCCAAGATGACCAATGGCTTTTCAGGTGCTGACTTGACTGAGATCTGTCAGAGAGCCTGTAAACTGGCCATCCGTGAGTCCATTGAGAATGAAATCAGACGGGAACGTGAGAGGCAGACTAACCCTTCTGCAATGGTGAGATTTCATTCTTTTAAATGCTTCCTTTTCAAAGTTGGGCAAATTAAAATCTATTTAAGTGCAGTCCTAAATACTATGGTGTGATGCATTTAAAACTGGCATGGTAGTCTGGATTTTCTAACATGTTGGTTGATTTTGTATTTTCAGGAGGTGGAGGAGGATGACCCTGTGCCTGAGATTAGAAAGGACCATTTCGAGGAAGCCATGCGCTTTGCCCGCCGCTCCGTCAGCGATAACGACATACGCAAATACGAGATGTTCGCACAGACCCTGCAACAAAGCAGAGGCTTTGGCAGTTTCAGGTGGGAACTTAAATCATGTTTAGTGGTAGCTTTTTGTTTTGTTTGCTCTTAGATGACAATATGAGCTCTTGGGTTTAAGTAAATTAATGGGATAATAAGATTGTCAGGCTGTGACTTGGTTTCCATGTATTCAGATTGGATTCAAGGTGCTAAATGCCTTTATTTTATTTTTCTAAATAAAAGATTCCCATCCAGTAACCAAGGAGGAAGTGGACCAAGTCAGGGCTCTTCTGGTGGCGGCGGAGGCGCCATCTTCAATGAGGACAACGATGATGATCTTTATGGATAAATGTGACCACGTGGCTGACCCTCACAGGCCACTCTTCATACAGGCCGCCATGTACAAAAGACAAAAAAGAAAAAATTCCACATTTTTAGAACTGTGCTTTTTGTTTGTTATTTTCCGCTTCTCTCATGTCCATTCCCCTGTTTTTTTTATTCGCCTCGTTCTCCTTCTGTCCACCTCCCTCTGTTGATAGAGAAAAGCATGTAGCTGCTTGTGTTTTGCTCTGGTTTGTGAAAGGATGATTTCTGAGAACTTTGATCTTAACATTCTGTGGGTGGGGGTGAATTTCAGTGAAAACCATACACGATAGTGATTTCATCAACTTTTCACAAGCTATATGAGCAGCTTCAGTGGTGGGGTTTAATGCTAGACTGTTGGAAGGATTCAAAAAAGAAAATATGTAATTGCTAATGACTTCATTTTTTTTATGAATGTAGCATATAATGTACAAGTTTGAAAAATGTTAAATAAAATTCACGAAATGGACAAAGTTGTGGTGTTTCATTTGTAGATGTTTGGGCTCTGTGAACATGTACAGATTATGAGATCTTAAAATTATTATTTCTCCTAAATGCTTTTAAAAATTGTGAAAATGGACTCTTTAGTCATTTTAATTTCCTTTTTTTTTTTATAAACCAAATGCTGTACTTCTAGGTCAAAGATCATGTAATTCAATAGGTTTTTTTTTATTCTTAAAGCATTCTTTAAAAATACAGCTCATTTATGCTTGTTTAAAAATCATGTAGTGATTTCCTCTAGCACATAACTTGTGTGCTCTAGCTACATTAAATCTTAGTCTGTGTTTGATACTGTCATGTGTATATCATACTCTAGATGGGGTCACCATAAAAATCATAAGAAACAGATTTAAAAATGAAGTGTTTTTATTTAAATTAGTAACTTGGATATTGAAGACATGCCATCTTTAGTTCTAAGAGGTTTGTATGTTTTTTTTTCCATCGCGCTTTATCAATATGGATCACTGAAAGGAAAATGAGGGTGCTTTGCATCTCTCCAGACCTTTTGTCCATCTATCTGTGGAGTGACAAAAACATTTCAGCCACAACAGGCATTTCAAAACCGTAACATACAGTAACTATTCATACCATTATAGTTGGAATGATAAGCCTCTCATTCCTGTTGAAGGATTCAATCACCCTCATATCTTCATCAGTTAATTTAAAATCAAACACCTGTGTGCAAAGGTGAGCAATGATTATATTTACATAATCTTCACTGCAACTCTTAAATCTCATTCAACTAATCAAAAAAATCATACCACACCAGGTTTGATGTCAAATGTCATTGGTTCTCATGTCTCTTAACCGATCACAAAGCACATGCTCAAATCACACATGAGATTTGATTGTTAATATAGAAAGATATTCATTAAATATTGACCTAAATTTCTTTGGAAAAGCATTTAATTTCTGGGGGAAACTATCCCAATAACTTGTCCCACTCTCTCCTCATTACAGTTCTTGTCCTCCAGGTGTCTCTGTATGTCCTGTCTTCTGTTGACATTCTGAATAAGCATTAATGATCACTGACCTTGCTTAAACCCCTCCAGGCATTATGTAAATCATAATTAGGTTACACAGAGGCTCAGTGGTTAAATAACCTGCCAAAGCATTGTAGTTGAGATGCAAGAGTTCAGGTGCATGTGCTGAAATGACGAGTCATGGAGGATGAATAATGTTTTAATGTGAAAGTCCACATCCAAATGGATTCAGAAAAAGAATGATTTGCTAATAAACAGGTTTCCTGAACAAAGAGTCGCCCCACACTCACGCCATTGTTTGAGTCAGTGACGAGCATCCAGACCAGCCAATCACAAAGCAATGCTTTGCTGGCAAAGAGTCACAGTGTTAAAACTTTTTAGGAATGTCAACCTCTTACAGTTGTTTCTGGACAGTAAGATGACGCAAGAGAAAGTATTATAACCTTGAAATTTGTTTGAAGTCTTTTTCCAACCTACCTCAATGTTCTGTTTGATCCTGGATGGAGTGATGCTTTTGGGGATGCAAATGACACCTCTCTGTATGTGCCATCTATGACACAAAAACCAATCCAGAAGTGTGTAATGGACATGGCCATGCACTCAAAATCACACTAAACACAAAACATAGTAAGAGGAAAGGAGGAATCCATACTCAGCAGTCAATGTGGGCCTATTCCTAAATCCTCTGACCATCCTCACCTGATGATGACCTGAGCAGGGGTCTTGTTATAGCACGTGGCCAAACCAACCACCCTTGGATCATCCAGCAGATGGGCTTCTCCAGGTGTAACCCATGGGCGATCAGGAGAACCCAGAGGACTGTAGGCTGTTACTGCCAGCCCTCGACCCCAACACTGAGATACCAGCTGAGTCTGAACCAGGTATGGATGGCACTCCACCTGAAAATATTTTGGAAAGAAACAAACTTTTTTATAATAGTCAATATATTTACGTTTATTTATTGATTCATTCAAATAAACAAAACAACAGAATAGTTAATGACACCAAGTATGATAAACGACCACATAGGTAAAGTTGTCGCGCAGTGATACCATTAATTGTTAATGTCAAATTAACACATGGACCAGTCCAATCTTACAGTCTTTGCAATTATCACTCTTGCATACCTGGTTGACCACTGGCTTGTGTTTGGCAATGCTGAGAATGTCATCAATCTGTCTGGCATTGAAGTTTGACAAGCCAATGGCTTTTACCAGGCCTTGGTCAACCAGCTTCTCCATGGCTGCCCATGTGTCTCTATAGTGAGTGTTATTATCATACCGAACAGTGCCATCAGGTCGCCTGGGCATCAGCTCATCTCCTCTCCTGGAAGTATTAAAAACACATCAGTTATAATATTATGTAGTAAACATTGCATTTGCATTTTCAAACCATTCATTCAGCTAAAATTATGCCCACATTTGGTCCCATAAGACACCTGTACACATTGAAACTGTTTACACTGTACATTGTTTACATTGAAACTCTTGCACCACAACAATGTATTTAATCCCATTGAACCTATTCTTTTCAAATACACTACTGTTCAGAAGTTTGGGGTCAGTAAAAAAAAAATTTATTACTGAAAAACACCATTTTTAAATACTTTTATTCAGCAAGGACATTCAATTAATCAAAAGATTTGTATTTCAAATAAATGCTGTTCTTTTGAACTAATTAAAGAGTCCTGATAAAATATATCTAGGTTTCCACAAAAATATTAAGCAGCACAACTGTTTTCAATGATAATAATAAGAAATGTTTCTTGAGAAGCAAATCAGCATATCAGAATGATTTCTGAAGGATCATGTGACACTGAAGACTGGAGTAATAACTGCTGAAAATCCAGCTTTGCCATCACAGGAATAAATTACATTTAAAAATATATTCAAATAGAAAACAGTTATTTTAAATGGTAATATTTCATAATATTAAGTTTTTACTTTATTTTTTAATTTTGAATAATGCAGCCTTGATGAGCATGAGACTTCTTACAAAAACATTTGAACGGGAGTATGTTGGTGAAATTCAGATCAATTGCTCAACTACCAAAAGCTAGATATGGCAACACAAAGACTTACTCAAAGGCCATTGGCCAGTGCATGAGATACAGGTCCAGATAACTGAGCCTCAGATCTGACAAAGACTTTTTGCAGGCATCCTCCACATCATCTGGATGGTGTTTGGTGTTCCACAACTTGGAGGTCACAAAAATGTCTTCTCGTCTCAGAGGCTATATGGTAGTTGTAAACAGTACAAATTTCATGTGTGTGATGTATTTATAGTAAAATGTCTTTGATGCATTTCATGTATAGTTCTGTCAGGACCACTATCGTTAAAGTTGATTGACAATTAGCATACAGTTTGGATTGGCGGTATGGTTCTGTTCTGGGCAAGAACTCCCTGCGCATCCATGCAGCCTAGCATGGATGAGAGCAGGGAGAGCAGCGATAACCCCCCCCCCAGGGTAAACAGAACAGAACCAACATAAATGTATTGCAGATATCGTTAAAGTTCTATAATTTTATCTACACATTTTAGAATTAGACTGATTCAAAGGATAATCAGAAGGCTGAATCCTGACTGACAGAGGAGGAGCTGGGGATGGAGGAGGGTAATTAGATATTGAGCAATGCGAAAACTGCTGACAATACTGAGGGACCTTATATATGAATGCTTAGATAGGTGTCCTATTCCTATAGGTAGATGGGGATCAGCTGAGAGTCAGCTGATGCGAGTTTGACTAATGTGACCTGCCAGAACTAACGATACGCTTGATTTTTATCTGCAGGTACCTTTGCTTCTCCAAGTCGTTCGCTCAGGGCCTCTCCGACCTCTCGCTCATTGCTGTAAGCCGCTGCGCAGTCAATGTGCCTGTAGTCACAGTCTAAAGCTGCTAGTACAGCCTGCTTCACCTACAGTAAGACAGAGTTCAATCCAGTTCTGCCACAATTAATACATAAACGAATAAACATACAGAAATAAGACGATACATTGCATACTGTACAGTACAATTTTGGGGCTTTTTAGCAGCTTATGTTTAGTTTGTCTGACCTGTCCTTGGGCACTTTTCCATGTTCCTAAGCCCACCGCTGGCATCTGCTGACCCGTGGAGAGAGTGATTGTTGCTGTCATGGTTTAATTTAGTTTTCACGTTTTCCTTTAAAAAAAAAAGACCTGAATAACTGTATTATTATTTTATTATCATCCATTATAAAAACTAACTTTAAAAACATCATAGTGATTCTGATAAACGCACTGTTAATGGTTCTGTATTTTCATTTAATTTGCTGTCTAAAATTTTAAATTTGTCTAAAAAAAGCTATTTGTAGTGTAATTCTAGTTTAAGCATTAATCAAAATTAAAAATTGCACGTCAGTCAACATAAAAATAGTATTACAAAACCATGTATGATCATGTAACAGTGCAGTGATTTTCAGTCTTCCTGCTCTTTTCCAGAGGTTTCCTAATACTGTTTGCCTTGAATTAAACTGATTATTTCAGACTTAATTTGATTAAAATAGAACTACTGTATATTAAACTTCATAAGATGAAAAAAGAAAATCCACAAATCCACAGAATGAATGATTTAGTTAATATCTTACCTCTGATAATGCTCCAATATGCAGAATCAGATCGACACAGTTACTGAGCTTTTATACACTGAGGTCAAAGTCCTTGTTTACTCATTTCCTAAAAGGCTGAACAATAACCAAAAGCCATCCACGCAGCTACAGCTATCTTTGAGGAACATCATATGACATGGCATATGACAAGAGCATTCAAACATATTTTGACACTCTTTTTTTCATTTAATCATGTTAAACAGTATTGATGGTCATCACTTGTCAGGGTGGCTTTGGGGGGAATGGAGATAATGGCATCTGTTTATTCTAGATGTGCAAACAATGGAGCAGTATATCAAAACAGTTTAAAGTCTGTCACATTCTCACATGCTCAGATTTAGCCCTCTCAGCTGTTACGACCCTCCTGCTGGACAAATATAGAGCCAGCGTATTATTACTGTCCGTCTCACAACTGCTCCAAGTGTTATGACCTGGCAGTGCTTTTGACTCAAGGTCCACTCCACTTCCCTTATGTGGTCAGACTAAATGACTTAGTCACCTCACAGAGGGGGGAAACCCCTGCAAAAATCTGAAGAACATTCTTGATTGGGGAGTCACTGGCAGTCTAATAGCACCAATGGCTCATTTTAAAGTGAGGGTACTCTCAGAACGTTTGTAATATACATCATGTGAGTAGTGTTTATTTATTGTTGCACCTCTTTGGGTATGTGGCAGAAATCCGATCATTTTTATAGACATCTATTCCATGCCAATGTTGTACTGGATTCAAACTTGAAACTACTGACTCTGCATACAGTGTTTATATTTATAAGTCTGCTTTAGTTTTTAGACCCATTGACAAAATACCAGCAGAATGCCTCAGCACTCAATTTTTGCTTAATTTACTTTTTTCCCTACATGATTATGTATTCTGGTATTAAACAGTGAGAGCCATAAATCTTATGAGTGACAGGCTAGAGTACTAATGAGTCAGCAACACTTCTGGGGAGCACAAACAAAAATAAACATACATTTCCTTTAGTTAAGGAAATGCCTGATGGGTGTTTCAAACAGTTCAAAAGGGGAAAATGTTTCTTATGCACTTTAAGGGGCACCACAGACACTGATTTCTATTTCTAAATATTAATGACACTAATCTGAATATTGGCAGCCATGTTTCCCCCTGAATGTCTATGGTGGTTACAGACCTGCTGTTACAGAGTATTTTCAACAATGTCAAACAATTCAGATTAAACTTGTAAAGATGAAAAAAGGGGACTTTCATACTTTCACATGTTCAGCCAGTGGAAATGCACCAGTGACATTATACATGCCAGTCAGACTTGTCCTCTCAGTGACTAATTATTTAATTATTATAATTTTATTTTGATAATCATGTTTAAAATTCTCAGTGCTTTTTGGGATTGTTATTTCCAGTCTTTTTGTCTGATTTTCTGAGGTCGATGTATCCTATACAGTCCTATATGATGCAAAATTCTTAAGGTCAATTCCTGGTCAGCTCATTTACATGCACAGTATGAACTCCATAGAGAACCGAGTGGAACGTCAGTGCTATTTTCTCAGATCACACAGTCAGTGGAAGATCCGTTAGAGGAATGCAGTGCAGTTAATGGAGCTGCCATGTCTGTGACAGATAATCAGACAAATCAAGACACGCAGTGAACCATGAAATGTTTTGTTATTTTTAATGAACACTAAGAGATGTTATACTTCGTCAGCAGTACATCCATCAACAGGACATTGATACTTGTACTTCATGAAGAAATAATTAAATGAACACCTTTAGTTAATTTAACTTGTTAAATCATGTTTTTTGTATGACTTAAGGGAAGTTGACTAAGTCAAATGTTCTTGGTGACTGAGAACGGTCTGATTCACTGGTTCATTTCAGAGGGATGAGGATCATTTCTGAGTCAAGCGATGTGGCATGAACCATTTGTCAGACTTATCCGCATAATGAAAGCATTCTTCATTTATGTCACGTAGACTTATTATAATGTACTTAAAATAGATAAAAGCAAACATTTCGCCTCAAAGATTATACTCTTATAACATTTATTTGAAATATAACTAGAAACTTAAAACTCCAGCACTGGAGTCATACAACATGCAACCTTTGCTAACTGCATCTGTATAAACTACAGGAACTGTTTATAATTACAACTAAAATTCAGATTTGTTGTCAATATTTTGATTTCAATTTTGGTTACCCTGTGTGCCCAGTTTTGTCATCTCATTTGGACAGTGCCAGTCTGTGTTCTCTGTGTTCTAGCCGTACATTTCATTCTGTCTGAAACACAGTGATGCTTATTATTTTGCTTTACTGCCAAGATTTTGTGGTTTATTTCTTGATCATAGAAATTATTTATAAAGCATCAAAAAAGTGAATTGTAAGTGTACTGATAGAGTTCAGTTGTACTTTACACACACACACACACACACACAGACAGACACAGACACACACACACACAGAAACACACAAACACACACACACACAGGTTTGTTTTTGTGAAAAGTGGGGACAACCCATAGGCATAATGGTTTTTATACTGTACAGACCGTATATTCTATTGCCCTACACCAACCCTACCCCTAAACCTACCCCTTACAGGAAACTTTGTGCTATTTCAGATTTTCAATACACTCCATTCTGTGTCATTTATAAGCATTTTGAAAAGTGGGGACATGGGGTAATGTCCTGAAAAGTCATCTCCTCCTTGTAATACCTATGTCATACCTTTGTCATTATACAAATTTATGTCCTCATTTGTCACAAAAACGTGCACACACACACAAACTTCAAAGCCCGAATCTCTCTGAATCACAGGAAACTAACACACCGCTTGCATGCTGCATTGATTTATCCTCCAGTGGGTGCAGAAAGCTGCATTTAATACTGTCTCATACATGAGGACAGAAGTAATAAACATGTGAATTTTTCAATTTGACATTCAAATTCAAAACAGAAGTGGATGTCCAAAAATCTCTTGAGTACAATGGTGAGAATCTCTTGAGTACAACAATCCAAGAATAGACCAGCACATAATAAAACAACATGACACCAGTCCTTAAAAAGGTTATGTTCCTCCGTACTTTCATTTTATCACCAAATACAGTAATGATTTAAATGACATAGTTACAACTGTATAAGAGATATCCTGGAAGGATCCCTGGAAATATTAAAATTGTTGTTGAAATCGAAAATACTGTTACTCAAAGACTGCTGTTACTAATGGAAGATGGTACATCACAAATAGATTAAAAGGGACATTTTGCACTTTATATAAATCTAAACTAAAATACAGAGAACTATTGCAAGTTTTTTCACGTTTAAAAGTGTGAAATACAGTATACCGAAACTGCTGTAGTAAAAAGCTGTTCAAAAAACAATTCCCTCATAACTCTAGCTCTAGCTGTGCTTACTGAACAATGAAGGCCTGTGTTTCAAAAAAAAAAACTTCCACAGGTGTCAGTGTCAGATCAATCTTCAAACAGTTTTATCAATATAAAGTAACATACTTTTTCTATTCACTTTCATTTTTTTCATATAGGATTAAAAATGGTCATTTTAATTTACTGAGACTGTCATGTACTTCGGAGGATGTTTGAGTGTATTTTAACGCGTGGGGTGGGGTGTATATTAAAGTAAATGAATGAGCATTTTCCAATAGCTATCCCTTCTCAAAGATTATTTAAACATTATTTTGCCCACATGTAGCTCAAATTATGTTATTTTTCCATTTAACACAAAAGGTGGTATTTAAGATGTTCTTGACTACAGCTGTCAAACTTTGGCAAAACAACCTGACACAGAAACAGACCAGAATTTATTATTCACAGAATTTATTATTCACTGAAATGTTCCTTCTCTCAGTCAATGAAATAATGAATAACTGTTAGCAAGGACGGTTTGTCAGACCAAGTCGTAAAATGTTGTGTACATATTAACTTGACAGTCTAGGTCAAAGATATGTTTTTTTGTATGATCCATGTGATGTGTCAAATACTTAAAACTTATAATATAACTTGACTATACACAATATTGCCTATGGTGATTTGTTTTTTTATGTTTTTGTCTTTTTTCCCCTTTGCACCTTGGTTAAATTAAGAGAGAGAGAGAGAGAGAGAGAGAACTTTCCTCTACTTTAGAATACAGTACTTTTTAACCCTTTTTAGCTGGATATCCTTCCAGCTAACTCCTCGTTTTTCACAGAAACAATAACATCATATATTAAGAGCACCATGAAGATGACTACATGACCAAATTATTCTTTTGGGCAAACTATCCCTTTTAATGATGGTTACTACCATACATTATTTTTGGGTATAGAAATGACAAAATAATCTAATTAGTATATTTGTTTCAATGATACCCATAGATCTATGCTAATAAAACTAAAATAGCTGGTTTGAGCCACATTAAGGCACTCAAAATTTCTGTGACCTCAAAAATCCTGTAATCATCCCACCAAAGGTTTAGCATAATTGCCAGTACCTGGTACTTCAAGAACTACCAGAAAGCACCTGTAGACTGTTGAGGGAGTGGAAATATATCAAATAGTTACCAAATGGCTCTGCTGGTGCTTTAGTTGTCTTACACAGAACACTTCTTTTAAAACGAGATTATTGAATATTACAAGGGAAGGGAATTCGAGATTATCGAATATTACAAGGGAAGGGAATTTAATCTGCTACAAAATAACAGATTCAAATCCAGAGTAAATAGCCAGCGGTCCTCATCTCCATCATTACACCAAAAATATTAACCTTCCATTCAACAAATCAGTCATTTTGACTTTTTTGTATTTACCTTCAACGCGTTGATAACGAGAAAAAAACTGCTAAAGAAAAAAAAAAAAAAAAAAAGATTTCTAAAAATAAAGTCCTGGTTATAAGCCACAGACCTCGGCATAACAAACTTCTTCAACATCCCAAAAGTCAGTGTTCCACATGTTCAGAGAAGTTGATAATAAATTAAGTAAAACTGTAACAAAATTTTAAATGAGCCTCTGGTCCTTATGACATATTTGTCCCTCTTCGAATTCAGCGTCTGTATTGTTGGGGAAAACGTGTTTGAAAAACATAACCATACAATGTATCCACTGAACTTCCTCTAAGACTGTGGTAGGTGCTGTTTGATGATCTCTCTGGACTGGGGTGGTATTCTGTCTGGGAAGCGCACCTGGAACTCCACTATCAAATCCCCGCGTTGAGACTGATTTTTTGGGAAAGGTAGGCCTTCTCCACGTAGTCTCTTGATTGTGCCTGGTTTGATGATATCGTTGCAGGGCAATGTGATTGCTCGGTTGTCAATGGTGGGAATGTTCACTGTACAGCCACACAATGCCTATCAAACAAAAAAAAAGCAAAGTGAAGTCAGTGCGAGAGCCGTTGATGGTATTTCAACACTTAAGCACAAACTCTACATGGCGACATAGAGACCTAGTGTAAGATGCCTCTGTGATGTTACAGGCACAGAGAGCACATGTACAGTACCATCCAACCTGCCAGAACTGGAGAGGATCTGCAAGGAGGAATGGCAGAGGATCCCCAAATCCAGGTGTGACAAACTTGTTGCATCTTTCCCAAAAAGACTCATGGCTGTATTAGATCAAAAGGGTGCTTCTACTAAATACTGAGCAAAGGGTCTGAATACTTAGGACCATGTGATATTTCAGTTTTTATTTTTTAATAAATCTGCAAAAATGTCAACAATTCTGTGTTTTTCTGTCAATATGGGGTGCTGTGTGAACATTAATGAAGAAAAAAAATTGACTTAAATGATTTTAGCAAATGGCTGCAATATAACAAAGAGTGAAAAATTTAAGGGGGTCTGAATACTTTCCGTACCCACTGTAGTTTATACAAAAATAGTAAGTGTGTATATATAGTACACGGTTTAAAAACAATGTGTGAAATTTATGGTAAAATCTGTCTGAGTGGCAGTAGTGGTTGTCAGAGCTTTACCGTAAAAAATATGTTAGCAACATTTGAAGTTTTACAGATTGAACCTGAATAAATACTTTAGAATAGCTAAAAACTGTTCTTTAACTACAAAGCATAAGTCTAAGGAGCAAGAATGAAGCACTGGGTCTATTAAAACATCCAAATTGTTTGTTTTACAGTTTAACAGCCAGGTAACAGTGTGACATACAATGAAATGCTAGCAACCAACAATTCTAATAACATACTAGTATTTATTTGTTTGTTTGTTTGTTTTTTTCTTGATTGAACAACCTGCAATTAAACACAACATGGGGCAAGTTTAAACACTTAAAACACTGTTTAAATCAAAGTGAAAATTTCTGATTTTCTGATATATCTCACTTGTGCACTTCCTACAGTTTTTTTTTTTTTTTTTTAGAAATAGTACTGAAAAAAAAAAAAAAAAAAAAATGTATCATTAGCTGAAATGTTAATATACCAAATTTCCAAAATCTGTTGTTTAACTTTATAACATACCGCCCGCACAAACAGCTTTAAAGGGATAGTTCACCCCAAAAATAAAATTAATCCATGATTTACTCATCCTCAAGGCATCCTAGGTGTATACAGCTTTCTTCTTTCAGACAAATACAATCAGAGTTATATTAAAAACTGTTCTGGCTCTTCCAAGCTTTATAATGGCAGTGAATGGGGTTTAAGATTTTAAAGGCCAAAATAGTGCATTCATCCATCAAAATTCAGCAAGGATCACTGGGACTTTCAGATTGCATCAAGCCTTTCTTTCAGACAGATGAGACTTGCAAGTATCAAACTTAGTCTTATTAATTGATACATTAAGTATCAGTTACACCTTTTTACAAAGGTGTGTTTGAACTAAGAATCTGACGTATCCCTCAGGTGTAGATCTGCTGAATATTCAAAATGGTTCCATAAATTTCATTCCTTATACCTCTTTCTGTACTGAGTTAAGCTTTATCCCTTTCCTATACCAACGGTTTGTGTGTGTGTGTGTATGTGTATGTTAGACCAGTTTATGTGTTTATGTAGGATGTTAGACCAGTTTATGTGTTTATGTAGTATGTTAGACTAGTTTAAGTGTTTATGTAGTTAATAAAACCTTACTTGTATCACACTTGACGTGGTTCATTGTTTGCTTATAACTGGAGTCACTTAATCATGCAGATTTATGCTACAAGCTTTTGTAGAATTGTACAGTAAGGAAGTTATTTCCCTTAACCAGGAAATTAACGTTCTTAGAATTGACAAGACAGTTGACCCTGAGAGGTCAGCTAAATATCTACAGCGGATCTAAAATATTCATAATTAATTATAATTAGTTATGGTTAATTATTAATATTTCCCATGAGCTGAGTCGCTACATACATCACCCGTTAGAACGCCACTCTCTCATGAACGAGTGTACAACAGTTTGCGGAAGCTAGAGATTATGGTTTATAAAGTTTTAAATACGGGTATTTTTCTTACACAAACATGTCAATTCACTTCAGAAGGCCTTTATTAACCCCCCGGATGGATGGATGCAGTTTTGTGGGCTTCAAAATCTTTAGTTTCAGCCTAGGATGTCACGCCCACGAACCATTTGCACACAAAATTGGAAACACTTCAGGAGTTTCGAAGTTGTCATTGGACTGTAGGGCTGGGTAAAAAAATATAGATATCTCGATATTAATTGATTCTCATTTTTTCGGAACGATATCGATTCTTAAATCCTAAGAATCGATTAGTCTAGCCTGTTTTCAGTTAATGGACAGAACATTGAAGGGCACTTCCCATCCAATAAATCGCAATAAGCATTGTGCTTTGGTACTCAGATTTCAAATTCTTTCCATTGTATTGTAATATTCAAACAATAAATGCCGTTTTGGCGCTGTTTAATGTGGAGTGACAGCTTGAGATCGCTGTAGCGCCTCAGATCAACAGACACAGCAGCGCAAGGCGCACGTGAACTGTTCATCTCCTCCACATTAATACCAGTTTCAGCACAAAATAAACATGACTAAACATCCGAAGGTAAGTTAAAAGAAAGAGTACAACTTTACAATCCATATCCTGTCTTATGTCAATATAACATCTTGTAAACAATGTCACGTAACGTCACATTTACCTCAGAAACAACGTTATTCGGTGGCCATAAACTCATTAGTCAGATAGAAAAATAAACCGTAGAGAGGGGCATTTTGCTAAATATATGCACCATATAACATATTCATAATAAACATTGACTGTTCTTCAATGTTTAATTTATGTTTGAATAAATCCATCAAGTTTTTATGACAGCCACCATTATGTTTATATTTAAAAAAAATTAATTGAAGTAGAAATATTATGTAATTGTAACTTTATTATTTAAAAAAACTTCATTAAGTGTAATTTGAACAAATCAGTCAATTTTAACCTTCAATATTATAGTAATGTACCAACTGACTCATGTATTTCATGGATTTTTTTTTCCTTGGGAAAATTTGGCATGTACTGTACCTGATATATATCCAAAATAATCGATATTGAATCGAATCGAATCGAATCGCAAGCTTGTGAATGAGAATCAAATCGAGAAATTTGTGTCAAAACCCAGCCCTATTGGACTGGTTGAAATATACAGGATTATATAATATATAAATAAAAATATAAATACTAAATACTACTATATAGAAGGTGCAGTGTCATACACAAACACAAACACAAAAAAACACCATGGTAACAAACATGACATTAAGATAATGCAATAAACATTAACATAAAGAAATCATATAAAACAACAATGTACATAACGGATAAGAAAAACACATAAGACGATACACAGCTATTTCAATGAAAAACGATCAAATGTAAAGCATCACACAGATTTCCGGGAATGTCAACTTGTTTTTTTTTTTTTAACTGTAAATTATAAGATTACTTTTTTCTTTTGCACTTCCAAAAATGTCCCTGTAAAATATAGATTTATATTCTATTATATGTACTTCAGTTTTTCACTGTATAAAGGAACTTACCATTAATCATTTAACAGGTTTTTACCATAGCCCTTTTAGTCTTTTACCATAAGTTTTTGAAAGACATTTCTTATGCTTACCAAGGCAGCATTTATTTGATGTAAAATACAGTAAAAACAATATAGAAATATTATTACAATTTAAAATAACTCATTCTAATATGCTGATTTGGTTCTCAAAAAATATTTCTAATTATTATCACAGTTGAAGCATCCAGTTCAGCAGTTGAAAACTGCTTCATATTTTTGTGGAAACCATCATACATTTTTTCAGGATTCTTTAATGAATAGAAAGTACACAAGAAGAACAAAAATGCAGCCTTGTTGAGCATAAGAAGCTTCTTTCATAGACATTAAAAATCGTAATTACTCCAAACTTTTGACAGTGTACATAAAATGTTATGATTATTCAAGTAGAGCAATTAAATAGAAAACAAATATATTAAATATATTTCAATTCACATTTGATTAAAAAACTTCATACAAGATCGGTGAAGTTCGGACTTGGATTGTGTAAATGTGGGAAAGCATGTGGGGATGTCCAAGTGTGTGTGTGTGTGTGTGTGTGTGTGTTATGCTACAGAAGGGGTAGCTGAGTGCACAGAAAGTTAATTTTGGCCACTGCTCTCATTTCACAGAGCTAATGAAGCAACCAAAAAATCAGCTGAGGACATAAATTGCTGTGGTGTCTCAAATCAGAAGTTACCATGGAACTAAAATTATATTCCTTCCACAGATGGAACACTTTCAAATTGTTGTCATTTTCAAAACAAAATAAGCAAGCAATAATAACACCATAATAATGTCCTCATTTGTAGGTCGCTTTGGATAAAAGCATTTGCTAAATGAATGAATGTAAATCACATGGAAGTTGAAGCAAGTCTAGATACAGATATGGTGATATTAGTTTTATGCTGAGAATATTTTTGTGATGCTGGAATTTCATGGTACTTATGAGCATTTCTAGTCATATCATAATGCTAGTGAAACACTGGTGGCATACTCTGGGCTTTCTGAAAGTTATGCCAAAATGTATGCCTAAAAATAATTAAAGAATTCATGACTTCAGTGGCTCATATAATCCTACAGTATGATAAGGTTAACAGATTTCTTGCACTTTCCATTATATAAGGGCTAAAGCTCTAAGATCCCACCTGGCTATTCCAAGCTCTATCGTTGCAGTCAGCGGGTGTTGCAGTTGAACAGACCACAAGCCGTCGGTGAATAAAGGTCTCCTGTAGTGAATCCATGCGTTTTTGTAAGAAAAATATCCATATTACAAATGTAATAAACACTTTTCTCTCACGTCCGGTATTCTATCATGACGTGTGTGTGTGTGTGTGTGTGTGTGTTATGCTACAGAAGGGGTAGCTGAGTGCACAGAAAGTTAATTTTGGCCACTGCTCTCATTTCACAGAGCTAATGAAGCAACCAAAAAATCAGCTGAGGACATAAATTGCTGTGGTGTCTCAAATCAGAAGTTACCATGGAACTAAAATTATATTCCTTCCACAGATGGAACACTTTCAAATTGTTGGAGTCATTTTCAAAACAAAATAAGCAAGCAATAATAACACCATAATAATGTCCTCATTTGTAGGTCGCTTTGGATAAAAGCATTTGCTAAATGAATGAATGTAAATCACATGGAAGTTGAAGCAAGTCTAGATACAGATATGGTGATATTAGTTTTATGCTGAGAATATTTTTGTGATGCTGGAATTTCATGGTACTTATGAGCATTTCTAGTCATATCATAATGCTAGTGAAACACTGGTGGCATACTCTGGGCTTTCTGAAAGTTATGCCAAAATGTATGCCTAAAAATAATTAAAGAATTCATGACTTCAGTGGCTCATATAATCCTACAGTATGATAAGGTTAACAGATTTCTTGCACTTTCCATTATATAAGGGCTAAAGCTCTAAGATCCCACCTGGCTATTCCAAGCTCTATCGTTGCAGTCAGCGGGTGTTGCAGTTGAACAGACCACAAGCCGTCGGTGAATAAAGGTCTCCTGTAGTGAATCCATGCGTTTTTGTAAGAAAAATATCCATATTACAAATGTAATAAACACTTTTCTCTCACGTCCGGTATTCTATCATGACGTGCCTCCCCCGTAGCCGTGTGAGGCACATTTTATTACGGATGTGCGCGCTTTATTTGACGACTTGTGGACTGTTCAACTGCAACACCCGCTGACTGCAATGATAGAGCTTGGAATAGCCAGGACAATTTTTTATATAACTCAGACTGGATTCGTCTGAAAGAAGAAAGTCATATTCACCTAGGATGCTTCGAGGGTGAGTAAAACACAGGCTAATTTTCATTTTTGGGTGAACTAACCCTTTAAGTAAATTAAGTGATTCCAGAATAGATTTTTTTATTCCCTAATATTTAGCTACTATAGCATAGGCTACAAAATATTTAATTCATGCTATTTCATGTGAATAAATCTGCATGGTAACTATGGGGCTAAGTTAAATATAGGCCTATTTGTAATTTTTTTCTCAATATTATCGTCTGTAACTGACTTTTATTATCGACATTGCGATACTTGCAAGACATCGTCGATATACGATAATATCGTCATATCACCTAGCCCTATTGGTAAACAAACAGTTTCTGGTCCCCATTGACTTCCATAGTATTTTTTCCATACTATGGATGTCAATGGGGGTCAGCGACCATGTGGACAACTGAACCAATCTGACCAGTTTGGTTACTCACATTCTATAAAATATCATCATTTATGTTCAACAGAAGAAAGAAAATCCTACAGGTTTGTAACAACTTCATGGGGAGTAAATGGTGACAGATTTTTCATTTTTGGGTAAACTATTCCTTTAAATATCAGGATAACGAATATCTAACACAATATAGATAAATTCAAGACTTAAAGATTAAAGCTTAGCTGTGTGCAGTGAAGAGCCTGCAGTTATTGCATGTGAGCTTATGCTGGAAAAGCTTTTCATGAACTTTCTGTGAATACCAAGCACAAATATTGCCAGACAGCTCTGCTTTGCAGCTGCCTCAAGGGATGAGAAAATGTGTTCAGAATGACATCAGCTCCTTCCTACAGACATCAGCAGTGTGGGCTGGGGGGATGGGAGCCATGGGATTCATGGAAAGAAGGGAGTAGCTGATACTCTCACAAAACAGTTGACCATGACAATTGACAAGTTGCCAGGCATCTCCTCAACTCTGGCTAATGATGATGTTTCCCAAACAGCAACAACAATTAAACAACCAAAGTTCATGTCAGAACTTCTGCAGAATTAAACTAAGACCGCTACTGAACATAGTCTTGTTAAAGGATATTGAAAATAAAATAGATGCTGTTATGGTCCAAAGATAGGTGTGACAGAGGTTTGACGTTGATCTGGACAGCAGTACGAAGTTTTCAGAACATTTCCACTAGAGAGATATATAGGCTACATCTATATTTACAAACCCACTTAGCAAGATCATGCAATAAGTATGCCAATGACGACACAGACAAGTAGACAGTTGACTGCAACTATTCGCAACTTGTTGCAATTTTGCTGTCACTCTTTCATAATTAAAATATGTAAGAACAGAACTGTATTTAGGACTCCAAAGGACTGACAAATGTAGTCTGACAACTGCTGTGTAAACATAGACATATAGGTTCAGCACAGCGTGTCACATATTTGCACATATTAAAGCTGCATTCAGTAGTAGTTAGGTGCTTATTTAAATTGCTGTACACATTAAGAAATACATTTTGTGAAGAGTGATTTGAATGGTAAACACTCACTTGAAATGAAAACTGTATTCATAACAGTTTTCTATAAATGTTTTTTAATTATATATGATGCAGGTCACCTCTCAATGTATTTCACCATCTTGAAATGACGTGACCTGCTTTGTTTCACTGCTTTGAATCCCCACGCTCATTGGCTGCCGCCTCTATAGGTATGCCAGTAGCGTAGTTTTGCAATGGGAAAAGCAATTTATTATTGTGTTTTACAGCTTATTATTGTCATGTTTTAGCAGCAGAGACTACGGGGGAATCAGTTTGGGAATCAATTAACTTTACTGATGCAAGATCACATTCAGAGCTGTCTTGAATAATCCAGCATCACTGTACAGATAGCATCATGTGGCCCAGTGTTTCCTCAGCACCACTGTTAGGGCTCTTTAGTCCTGCTGATGGGTATGGAAATGGGTATAGAAATTACCAGCAGACAACAACCTTATAGCTGTCTTGCTCTTGTACAAACCCATGGTCATTACCAGCAGGCAATTAAAGAAACTCTGAGATCTAATTAAAGCAGTGCCTTGGGGTTCCACTAAGAACATCTCTAAATGAAAAGTGATATTGAATTGAAGGCAATGTATACCTGAGAACAGTCTAGATCCATGCTAAATCTGTCCTCTGAATGTGTCTACAATAAACAGGCAGATGAAAATTTGTGGGGCAAGTTGCCATCAGTATGCATGAGATGGTACCAGATGGCAAAACAGTTTGTGATGTTCACTGCCACTTATCAAGTTTCATTCTGGGCATCTAATGAGCGAGACCTTTAAAAGTAAATCACTGCCCTGAAAAGGTCTCAGAAACGATTAGCAGACAGTTAAAATTGGCACTGTAGATGTTTTCGGAAATTTAAATCAATGGTTGACATAGTAAAAAGGCCAAAATGCTCTTTTCGCTGTAGAGCTGGAAATCTTATGGACACATTGTTTGAGACAGCTGACAGCTGACTGGTCTGGATGAGCTGCCAAGGTAAAAGTTATCAAAAGTAAAGTTACCAGAAAGACAAGAAAATGTTTTCACCATTAATCACACTGGTGCTCTAAAACACATCATTCAAGACTGTCATTAAGGCTATTTCTGCTGATGTCACTGTCAATATAAATTATTAACTGACTGTGGTTTTCTAGGTCACTAGACAAACAGAAATATATGCAGTTACTGTAGACTGTAGTTATTATCCTCAGCAGGTCAGCCCATTAATATTTAAATTATTACTTTGATTTTAAAAAAGCATCATGTTCCAGCATTTGATAACTTGGGACAGAATTTCCGGAGCTTTATTGAATCCCATCAGGCTGTCATAAACACCTAAACTTTCATAATTAAAACTATGCCAGGATAAAACAGAAATACAATTCACAGAAATCTAACTTTTCAATTACAGTTATGATTTTCACCTGCTTGTTTGCTGTGACGGTTTAGTCACATGACAATTTTATCTGCGTAGTTCAACTCTTCAAGGTTGGCTCAACTCGCTTTTTCAAAGCAAGGACACTGCTTTGGCGTATGACACCGCACCATGACATTCCTGTGCTCTCACACTGAAGTGGGAGAGAGAGTAAATCAGCAATGACGTTGAGCCATGGAGGGACTCTACAGTCACCAAGCATGATGTGTCCTATAGCTATGGTAGATTAACACTGGACATGTTCAGGTATATATTATATTCACATTACAATGTTATGCAATAATATGATTCGTAATGAAATGGTAGGGCACAGATATTGCAGGGATAATGAAGGACAATAAAACCAACAATGGTTTGCATGGGGAGAATAATGCAGCCAAATTTAGCAGCTGTGCAGGTTAACAAGGTCAGCACTTATTTTGGACTCGGCGAGGTTGATACCAAATGAAGCCCATTAATTTACATTGTAAGTCCATGTAAGTGAGGGCACAAAGGCCAAAGGGTGGTCTGGTGTTGAGAATGCAGTAAACCTGTCTAATCTAAGTCTGGCTCAGTCTATTCTTTGGCTACAGAAGCCAACTGATAAAACAACCCAGTCTGCTTTGACACCCAGTCAGGGAATATCAAGAAAGAGTGGAAAAAAGCACACAGGTGCAAAAACTGACTATTATTTCAGGCTATTAACCAATATACTGTGGGTGAAAATAAATGGTGTAAACCAAATGGCCAGAAAACTGACTGTATCCGAACGATGAAGAGTACATACCTCCTTAAGACCGATCTTGGCTGTGTAAATGATGTTGGATCCATCCCTTTTGAAGAGTGGGTGTCCTTTGTCTTTGAGCACAAATGCAACATCAGCAGGAATGTTCTCAGGTGTCTCATCACCCTCTTTGGGGAAGGTGATCTTGGTCCCTTCCTTCCAGCCTCTCTTGATAACAATGTTAAGGATCTTGTCCTCTGTCCTCATTGTCCTTCCATCTGGGTTCAGTCGTCTGCGAGTGATACGCATCCGTTTGGTACATCCATGGAAGATCTCCTCTAGAGACACTTTAAGCTCATGCACCACCGGAGGGTCCTGTACTTTCCTCCGGCTGCTGTGAAGGGGCTCTTTACGATGTCTTCGACCTCCACCGTGATGAAAACCATTGATACCATTGAAGCCAAAGTGGCTGAAGGAACTGAAAGGATCATCATCTCCATCCATGTCAATGTCCATGTCATGATCGCCACCATGGTCATTAGTGCCATTGGTGGTTCCCCGCTGGCGTCCAGAGCCGAAGAATATATCGAAAGGGTTGGAGCCTCCAAAGAAAGAAGCAAAGGTGGCATGTGGATCCCCATGGAAGGTGTAGTGATATGTAGTCCCTTGTCCACTAGATGAGCCTGTGCCACCTGTTTTCAAACCTGGATGGAAATGCACAGGAGGAACATTGCATCAGGGATTTCTGCATTTACAAGTTATTTTAGGTTCTGCTTAATTCCACAGGTCAGCATCTTCTGTGACAGTTTGAGGTTAGCAAACACTCTACCTTTCAGTAATGACACCCAAGACTTTAAAAAAGTATAGCTTTATGTCATCTCATAAGTACACCAAGGATTGATGGAGCCATATTAAGGGCATCGCCAACTTAGTGAGTCTGCCACAGCTGTGCGAGAAAAGTGGATTTAGGACTGCACTGGCCTTGAAGAGTCAATTCTGCTCAACACTGATAAAACTTAAGCCACTTTCTATAAAAGTGTTAACTAAAATAGAATGACTTCTAAATATTATGGCATACTGCATACAATATTTTAGGAATTTAAGACCGTATAAAATGTAAATTCCTGAATGTAAAATTAAATTTTTTTCTCAAAAGAAGCAAGTACATTGACACAGCCCACTTGGACCTCTTTACCAATACCAGTGGATGCCAACTCCAAGATGATTCTTTGAACTCTACACTACTAAGAGGACAGTCTTGTTCACTGAAGTATAACAATTAAAAAAAAATTAAAAACCAAAATTTATCTATTTCTATTTGTTTAGTGAAAAAAAGAAAAACACTGAAATGGGCTGACTGCAACATCTGAATTATTATAGCAGCTCTATAAAGACTCACTATAATTGGCAACTGAGATGTTAATTCTAAAAGTCCTGCTGGATAATTATCAAGTGCTAGCTTACACCATGACGTAGCATGGAATAGCATTTGATTTAGTCTGCAACTGCTCACACATAACCATTTTGAAGTGTAAAGCTCTAAAGAAGACCTGCCAAGTCTTTCTCTCTTTCTTTTCTTCACCCCCGCTCAGTTTGGTTTACAAATTTAAATTGCTGGACAAAGAACAGAAATACGCTCTAAAACAAGCAGGCTACTTCATTTCTGTTATTGTCCCTTAGCTGTCTTCTCTTGGTGGCTTGGTTCTGATAAAAAATACTTTGGCAAGAACATGCAGTACAAATCCTGGGCAAGTGATGATCCTGTGTGAGTGTAAGACCATAGCATGGTGTATACAGTAAATGCTCTTTAAACTCTGGTGTCTGAACTGTGTTTTGAGGTTCAATGCAAAATTATCTTCTTCATAAAAATAGAAGTACAGAAAGACGGGTCAATTAGGATCAAACAATCATTTATTTTGTGCTTTTTTAGTTCTGTTTAAAAAAAACATTAACACCCATGTGCTATGGTGGGTGATTGATGGCTTGTAACATATGCACTCCTTCTAACGATCAGGACACAAGCTGACTCATCTTCCAACTTCACATCTTCAACTCTTCAGTCTGCATATATAATGCAGACATCTTATAAAACATGTTCCCACCTCATTCTTTGCTACTTCAATGAACTCCTCAGGCCAAAACAATTAATGAAGGGATGGTTAAATGAGTCATCAGATTCATATATCTTATAATACAGATTTAAAAACAATTCCTCAGAGTGAATCTGCTTTTATAGAGCCAATTCAGCTTGCTGCTGATACAGCTTTTAACTGGACCTAATGGCTCTTTTTACAAGCATTATGGAACAAAGCTGCACAGAAAAAACTGATGCAAAGACTCTAAAAACATAAAGGGATTCCTTGCAAAATTCACAAGTAACATTAGTAAAGGAGGAATTGGCAGGTGTACTCAGTGTAAAGATACTTAGTTTGGCATTTAGCCTGGAGTTGGCATAAGTGGGAAGACTTCAATTCCTTCTTTGTTTCAACAGACATTTTTCTTATTTTGGAACAGTGCCATGTTTATTGTCCTTGCATTTGTCAGAGAACTTTTCTGCATCATCCTGCAGTGTGAGGGAGTTATTTTGATTGTCGGAAAAAAGCAGAGGTGCTAAAGCTGCACTGACATTGTATAAAGAACAGTGGCCTAGCCACGTGAGCCACGACAAAGATCCTTTTAAGGGTTGTCCTATCTGGTATAAACACAGAACTGTGCCTGGGTCCATTAAGTGTTGTTGTTATGAGCATTTGTATTGTTTTCTTAGAAAATATATTTTGGGGTATTATGCACTATTTTAGACTGCAAATATGAATACAACACCAATTACAAACAGACTGCTGGATAGACACTTCACATACTGTATGAAAAAATTAAGCTGGGTCATTTTAAACCCTGGGGAAACTGAATCCCGGTTTGTTTCATATTTCACACTACTCATACTTAACCTGGGGCTAAAAATTTATCCTGGGTATTCATAATCTGAGATTTCACAGTAAACATTCCTAAAATCTTTACTGTATATTGCTAAAACTGCTTTAAATTACATGTGTGAAACATTCCTTTACCCAGGGTTAAAAGCAGAGTTTGCAACAATAGCCCCTTTCACACAGTAATA